TATATATATATATAAAAACATTTAATTATATTTTATAAAGTAGTGTTACATTTTTCTTCGAAGTTATAAGCATACGAATATATTCCATTTACGTGAAAAACTTTTTTAGCGTTCTCAAATTCAGTATTCTTTATTTTTTCACCAAATCTAATTGACTATCCACAAAGTTTTAGTTATGACAGGCATAACTAAGCCTACAAAGCGTCAAACGTGCAGATTATGGAAGGCAGCATCAAAAAGGCAACACACAGAAGCCTTTCGCTCCTCTCACGCTACGCTACAGGCACAGCTAAATACTATAACATTACTACAACACTCACCAATCTGGAGATGATCTAGCTACAGCTACTCGGGTTTCGGTTTCGAAAACAGTCCAATTTAGAAAACCCACTGAACGCCTGTTTCATTTAAATATTCTTTGGATTGTCATCAAAACAACGGACTCAAACTAATATATTTGGCTGTGTCAATTAGAATTATTATTTTTCTATCTTTCTTGTATTATATACACGTAGAAGACGAAGAACGCTGGTAGCTGTTATAGTCCGTGTTGAGACAACTGGGTCAGCGTTTCTCGATCTTTTCGATACCACTAATATACCTCTTAAACTGTTGCTGACCAAGAAAATGCCAATATAACGAAAACCCATTACGATTTATATTCTGTCGATTTTTGTTTCTTTCTTTTGGTGAAAACCCACAGACAGGTGGCTCAGAAACACGAGACTGTGAAACTATAAAGTATTTATAGTATAAGGACACATATAAAGCAAACTGTTTTGTTTTTTCGTTTTAGAACATGTGTGCAGAAAAAAATAGAAAACGAAATTAAACAAAACACATGTGATTACTACACTAATTCCTTTGATGACCAAGTTATCTAAGTAACACCAAACTGTGTCTGAACCTCCCACGAGCATCACTGGAAAAAGATCCTGAGGACTCCCTCTACGTAACTCGGTTTCCTAAAATGAAAAAGCTTTATAGACAAATAAACAAAAATGCGTTTGGGGAAAATGAGAACTTATAATATAAAATGATTAAATTTATACTAGACCGCCTAACATCCTGTAGTACAAGCTATTTTGCCAGGCTTGGCCTAGGGGATGGTTAAAGTGCTGGGCTGAGGCACGAAAGTCCAAGCACTGAGATGTCTGAACGTGCTTCGTACTTTCAACTGTAGATGCGTTATAAGAGTGACATGTAATCACTTTGTGGAACTTAAAACCCTTGTGGTGGCGGGTGCTACTGACCACCAAGCATACCTCTAGTCAGTGGTTCATAATTAGGGACGGCTATACTTGAACATCGGGAATCTATGATATGGATGTTTAGCCTAAGTACGCATAATATTTATAAATCAAAGAAAAAAATATCTGCTTAGGTATCCCATAATAATTCACCCACAAAACAAGTTTAAGAGCTAAATGTCAACCATTATAGAAGCTAAAGAGGACATATTAAACTCGCAGTCCTGCAGTCCTTATAAGCAGGTGTCACAGCATATGAGCATAAAAAGGTTGAAAGGCCGTAAACCTTACCCATCACTATCCTGCTGCCAAGTTGTCATTAAACTAAGCAGATATATTTGCGGCGTCGTTTCATTGTAATGTGTGTCAAGTTCTAGATTTTGTGTAATTTAAACTTACATGCCTCACTCGTACCTTCTTCATTTTGTTTGTAAACTTCCAATAAGGTATTTTCTTCTTTTTCTGAAATTAGGGGGAGGGAACCCCGTTAATAATTACTTTCCACGTAATGATTTCAGTAAACAGTCATCATCTATTTTGTTGTAATTTACGTTTTAGGATGAGTATTACGGCTTTTGCTCTATTCTTATAGCTTAAAAAACGTTGTTGTTTTCACGAATGAACTCCTGAAAGTATATCACGTTAATTGGGATCAGAAACTGGAGAAAGAATGTATCAAATTATCAGTAAATTTCCTTTCAATTATTTCCATGTCTTTATTTTCAAGGTACCACCATTGAAAGCTGTATTCCGAAATGGTGAAGTCTCGAAACAGTAATCAAGCTCGTGCTACATTTCTATAGATCTATAGAACTGGTCTTTTTGGAAGTAAATATATTTTTGTACAGTGAAGTATATATATATTTTATTTTGTTGATTATTAATATTGTGTGTTATATAACACAAAGCTACAAAAGGCATTTATTAACCACAGTTAAACCATATCTGTTATACTTACACCCCCCCGAAAGATTTAATTTCGCTTTGATGCACTAAAATGTTTTTTTGTTTCTCTTTGTATTACACCTCATTTATTTTTTTATAATACACCTAATGTATGTTCCTAAGTACGAATATACTTTGATTAACCTGTGTTTAATCTAATATTAAGTCCCAAAACACACGTATAATTGTAGCCAAAGTAAAGAATATTTGACTCCGTTCTAGTTCCGTGACCGTTTTAGCAAATTATTTTAACAGTAACAGGCAAGAAAATGAGAGTATTTGTTAAGTGCTGCAGTTACTGTAGAAGTTTGTAATCTAATTAGGGTAAACCAGTTCGTTTTCTATTACACTGATACGAACCATAGATGGGATAACACCGAGAGTCTTTTAGTTTATTGATAACGCTAAAAGTGACTAGATTTAATAGCTAAAAGCGCACCACACGAGATACGTAGCAGCAAGGGCCCAGACAACACCTGTGGTTATTATTCTTGGATAGATCTCCAGCTTTTGTAACGTTTTATAAATAATGAGGCGCTTCGGAAACACATATTCCATTGTGTTTGGGTAACTTTATTTCCTCGTTTCTAAGTATGGAATCTGACATGTCATTAATACGAAAGATTCAACTCAATCAGATGCCATGTTTGACTATTACAGTTACAAAATTGATTTTTATCTCAGTTTCGACTTCTTATCAAAATACACAGATATTCTATTGGAATTTGCTCGAAACAATGTGTTTTAGTTGTCAAGATACCTGTGAACTGAAATTGTCTTTTTACATGTTTTGACGTAATTATTGAAGTCACTAAAAACGTGTAAGATGTTGCAGTTTTGAAAAATTAATCATCTTAATGATTTACTTCAAGGCTAGTTGTCCATGAGGCCAAATTAATCCCGAAGGAAACATTGATACTTTGGCTAGTTGTTCATGAGGCCATATTAATTCTGAAGGAAATATTGATACTTTGGCTAGTTGTCCTTGAGGCTATATTAATCCTGAAGGAAATATTGGTACCTTGACTAATTGTCCATGAGGCTATATTAATCCTGAAGGAAATATTGGTACCTCACACCCCCGATATTAACTGACCTACTATAAGGA